TGGGTATTCCAACAAGATTCGGCGTCAGCTCATAGAGCGAAGAGCACACAAGACTGGCTGGCGGCGCGTGAAATCGACTTCATCCGGCACGAAGACTGGCCCTCCTCCAGTCCAGATTTGAATCCGTTAGATTACAAGATATGGCAACACTTGGAGGAAAAGGCGTGCTCAAAGCCTCATCCCAATTTGGAGTCACTCAAGACATCCTTGATTAAGGATTGACATGGACCTCGTTCGTGCTGCGATAGACGACTGGCCGCGCAGATTGAAGGCCTGTATTCAAAATCACGGAGGTCATTTTGAAAGAAAGAAAGAAAGGTTTATTCTCCAAAATGACGCCATCACAGATAACATAAAAAATAAAAAAAAAATATAAAAAAAACACATAATTTACAAATAATATTGGCTATACAATACAAATTACAATGTACTACATATTACAAACTATACAATACCTATACTCGTATGTGTCAAGGCGTCATCTGGGAACAGGAGCACACTCAGCATAATGCCATGATTTTTTTTCCATGGCGCTGATTTTCAGTGTGTCCAACCAGTGACCTACCGAAATCAGTGCTATATGTATACTCATTTTATTACGTTTTAAACAAAATTATGATGACAAAATTATGCACAACAAGGGGGAAAGAGACAGTAACTATTTTAAGTGAGATGGAGAGAGTAGCGTTCAAGGTCTAATGCCACTTCGACACAGCACGTCCCGTTTATGTTGATTTCAGATGCTCTTAGAAGGTCTATACGAACACTACAAAAGGGGAGATTATTAAAATACTATAAAGGGCTATATACTACACTATGTAGTTATTGAAGAATATAAAAGTATATAAGAAGACAAAAGCCGCACTCAAGAGGACGATTTTTATGCTCCGTTGTTAATAATCTATGACGATGAGGTATAAACTGATTTTGAATAAACTATAGTGTCATAAGAATCTATGTTTTGTTAAGTTTTCATTTTGGTATATAAATTTATAGAATAGAAGAAATATATATTAGAAGAATAAACTTGTTTTTTTTATATTAAACATGTGATAGAATTTATGACCTGACTAGGTAATATGCAATTTGGGTACAGATGATAAACCAGGGTCACATTGGGTAGCTTTATATATCGATTCGAATGATGTCGGTCAATATTTTGATTTACACGGACGAGCACCTGTACGATATCATCTAGAGTTTTTAAAAAGGAATTGTAAAAGATGGAACTGGAATGTTGATAGGATTCAGAATGAGTGGACTTCAGTTTGTGGCGAATATTGCTTAATGTATTTGCTATATAAGTTTCAGGGATGTTCAATGCATAGTTTTACGAGTATATTTACAGGGAACACATTGTACAACGATATTTTAGTGGATGAGATGTTTCGCTCCTATTTTATAGATAATAAGTAATAAGATTTTGTATTTTATAAATAAAAATTTTAACAAAATTAGGTAATATGTTTTATTGTTGAGTCAGATTAGTGTTGTAGATAGGAACAAAGGAGTATAATACAATAGCACTGATGAGCCGACGCACACGCTGACGAATAATAGATAATGACGGTATTCAATGAACAATAGATAAGAACAATGGAGCGCTAATGACGGTGGAGGCCATCACCGGATATCAATTAGATAAGAGTTAATTGATCTGCACATCTCCGGAACCGTGCATCCTACGCAAAAATGGACCGCAGATTCGTGATCAGAGCATGCCAAAACTTTTTTTTTGGATCGTGAGTCGATGAACGTTGTACTTGTACCACTTCTGACTCAGTGAGCCAGAACTGGTACAACGTAACTACTGGATATCGACAGTAGAACCAGAGTAACCGACATAGCCCAACGGATTAGGACAATATCCTATATTATATGTATAGGATAGGATTAACGGATATATGGCGGAATGATAGTGTGTGTGATAGAATGTAGGTATAGGTCAGTCTGGTAAAAATTAATTAAGTCCAAGCGTACACGGTAAAGTTAACTTTTAATCACTATAGACAGGTACACAGAGTATACAGTTCCACACAACACAATATAAAAGTCAGTAGCTCTATAAAATTGAAGGAGTAGAAAGCGATAGCATAAATAGTACAGTAAAAATAGATAATTTAACTTTGCACTAAATTTCCGATCAAATTTTTATTTTTTATAAGGATTATAAGATCACTTACTGAGAATAAAATCACAAAATGCTGACAGATCCAGGTGGCGCTTCAAGCGCCATCTTGAGAAAAAGTGTTCAGACGATATCTCGGAAACTATGCACTTTAAGGCAAAAGTTATAGATACCATTACTGTAGAGAATAAAATTTCGCATCTTTTGTATCCAGTAAACTTTTTTGTAGAACTTACCGTTTACAATTTATGGCCCATTTAATGAACCGGTTTTTCCGTTGTGGCCAATAACTCTTGATATATAAGATTAATCAATAAAATGCATTAATCTATTTTTAAAGATCAGTTTACTCTCTCTACAGCTTTTGTTTCAAACTTTTTTTTCTAATGTCCATACTTTTTGAGTTATAGGACGTTTAATGCTGTTCTCTATCGCGGCCAATAACTTTTGATATATTAGATTAATCAATAAAATGCATTAATCTATTTTTAAAGATCAGTTTATTCTCTACAACTTTTGTTTCTAATGTCCATACTTTTGAGTTATAGGACGTTTAATGTTGCACTACCGGGCGTATAGTTGAAAATTTCAACGGTCGAGCTTGGCTGACACTCGGCGAGTGACGCGGTAGCTATGCGATCTTGTAACGATGTTTAATGTCCATGTCACACCTATGCCGGTAGTTGTTGGGAGCACTAAGCTCGAAGTTGTTGACGAGTACGTTTACCTGGGACAAATAGTCCTACTAGAAGTCCAACTTCGACCGACAGGTCAATCGACGGATTCAACTCGGCTGGGCAGCGTTCGGGAAATTGCGACGCATCTTCTCGTCAGGTATACCTGAAAACCTAAAAACTAAGTTGTACAACCAGTGCGTGTTGCCAGTGATGACCTACGGAACCGAGACGTGGTCCTTCACTGCTGGCCGTATGAGGACGCTCAGTCGCTCAGCTAGCTATGGAGAGGGCTATGCTCGGAGTTTCTCTGCGTGATAAACTTAGAAATGGGATACGTAGTAGTACCGGAGTGACCGACATAGCCCAACGAATTAGTAAGCTGGAGTGGCAATGGGCCGGCCATGTAGCTCGAAGAACCGACAACCGTCGGGAAGAAAAGGTTCTCGAGTGGCAGCCTCGTACCGGTAGGCGAAGTGTAGGGCGATCCTCCACTAGATGGAGTGACGACCTGGTAAGACATGCAGGAAGTCGATGGATGCTGGTGGCTCAGGACCGTGGTTTGTGGCATACCTTGGAGGAGGCCTATATTCAGCAGTGGACTTGTGAAGGGCTGTAATGATGACGATGATGAAGTGATCCTAAACCTTATAAAAATAAAAATTGAATCGGAAATTTAGTACAGTTGACCAAAAAAAGTCCATTTTTACTGGCCTAAAAGCAAATTACAAGAAGTTAATATTCGCGAGATGACAAATGTGAGACTACGGTCAGCCAGGCGACATGGGCTTCGCTTGTGCTACATCACTCCCCCCAGAGGCCTTCACTACGGGCGATAAAAATCTGGAAACCGAACTGTGCGGCCTGAACGCGTCCTTCTAACATCATCTTGAGCTGGAGCATTAAGCTCTTTTGGAACAGGAACAATGAATAAACCGGGATTGCGGTCGGATGTAAGATTGGGTGTAAAGACAGGGTTGGAAGATGGGTCTATCAGCATAGGCCGGCTTGAGGCGGTCTATGGATACTGTGACGCTTTTGCCCTTTATTCAAATTTTGAATGTTTTCGCATTACGTTCTAATACTTGTTACGGACCAGCGTAAGGGGGCTGCAAAAAGCCACGTAATGCATCGTCCCTTAAAAATACATGACTTGATGAAAATAAGTCTTTATGAATAAACATTTTTGCTTTATTAGCAGGTGAAGGTTGTAGCTTTGATGTTAATTGGTGCAGTCGGGTGGTAAAATCCGATATATCGGTTGAGTCGGGAGCTGCGGCCTGGAAGAACTTGCCAGGTAAATGTAAAGGCTCCCCGTAAACCGATTCGGCAGATGAGGTTTATAGATCATCCTTAAATGCGCTCCTAATGCCTAATACCACCAGAGGCAACATGTCTACCCGATTACTATCAGCATGGCACATAATGGCTGCCTTTAACTGATGGTGGAATCATTCCACTAGGCCGTTGCAGACTGGATGATACGCGGTTGTTCTGCGATGTTTAAATCCAATCATCTTTTCAAGGACTGTGACCTATACACATTCTATCTATTACACACTACCATTCCGCCATAGATACAAGCTGAAGTGGCAATACGCCGACCGTGTAGCTCGAAGAACCGGCAACCGATGGGGATCAATAATGTTGTTTTTTGCTGTTTGGGTGCTTAAAAATTAGCTTTGGGACCGATCTACACACCGGACGTAGGATACCAGTTCATTAATTACAGCTACTTTTTTACTCGTCCGTGATTACAGCCTATTAAGGTCCACTGCTGAACACAGTTAGTCTCCATAGTCTCATAATGGCGATATTTATCATAGCTGTCACGCTTGACGGGCGTGGCCGGTAAACGATATTATACCGGTGTAGTGGAATGATGAAGTAGATGTTGGGATTTTTACGTACAAAAACGTAACAGTTTAAGAATTAAAACTTTTTGCGCACTTGATAAATAACAAAAACGCCGCTTAAATACTGAAGTGTCAATGTCCACAAGCTAAACCCCTAACGCTAAAAAGTTTATATATGTACTCATTCTAAAACCTTTTTACTTCATATTAAATAAAAAGAAAATTATTTGATATTGCTGATTACTGAATGATGGTAAATAACAGCATATGCAGGAACAAATGACGGAAGTTGTCATTTAAATTGTTGTTTTATATTTGGTTAAAATTGTGTAACAAGTTATAATGTATACAGACGAAAATTCCGATAAAGAATGCAAAAGTGAAGAGAAAAAATTAGAAGAATGTTCCAATATCACAAAGAAATCACTATCAACGATTGGTTTTGTAAGTAATGTAGAAAATCAAAATGTAAGACCATTAACGCTACGAGCGACACAATCCTTCACGGGTACGGTGGAGGAACTAAAGTTTTGTGGTAATTTTCAAAGAATAAATCTTTGCAATAGAATGAATGTTGTGCCATCACCGAAAATTACAACTGTTTGTCCGTGCGGTTGTTTACTACGACCTGCTGCAGTAAACCCTTTCAGAACAAGAGAACAAAACACACTTGCACTTCATGTGGTTCCACCCGATGTACTGAATTACCATGGCTATAACTTTAAACCAAATCAAATAGCACTGTTCTGGAAGAAAGATTGTAGAACGTTTTTGTGGAAAGGAAAGGCTAAGAAGAAAAATTTTATTCACGTAGATTCGCACAGATAATAAAATGTTTGCTATAATATATATGTAAATAAATTTTAACAGAATTGAGTATAATAAATTAATATTTTACGCCCCATAAATGCAATATAATTTAGTTTTAACATAGTACATTTGAAATAACTCTCTTCTCATACATCTATTAGGTATATGTTAAAAGCTTTTGGTAATAAGATTACTGCATTGTTTGCACTGTATCTAATGGTTGTTTTTCCACGCCAGGCATATTAGCTTCAACAGATTCCCCGCATGAAAACCTTACGTAATCTATGACTTCCACTTTATTTTGATTTAAAATTTCTTCAACTGTGTATGATGGGTCTAACAAATATTCTTGGAAAATAAGACAAGTCTCATCATCTGTGTTCTTTGCCGGTTTGTCCGCAGCTTTGTCACCGATCTTTCTAGGCGCACATCCAACAATATGTTGGCAAAGTTGTTTACCAATATCCTCATGATCATTGGCTTGTTTGTAAGCTAGTAACGCGCCGTATTTGCCAGCGGAATAATCTCCTGCTACTGTAGGAGCTGGATGTGTATAGCCAGCAATCTTCACATCATTGCTGTTTGCTTTCCAGCATTCTGCTCTCCTCAATACAGCATTCTCGCCGACGGAGCCAATGAATAATGCTAGTATTTCAGAAAGCTTTTTACCTCCTTCTGAAGCTAAGTTTCCCAACTGCTCACTATCTAACTCCATCTGGAATCACAATTGTTATTTTTAAAACCAAGTTATCATAATCATCGTCAGCCCTTAAATAGCCCAATGCTGTACGTGAGCCTCACGAAATAGCAGAAGTGAAGAATGTGAGTAAAGTACGAACCAAGGACAACAATCCAGATAAATATTACAAAGCCTATTGATTCACAGTCTGGATCTCGTCACATGAATAGTTGGAAGGGCAAGGAGAACGTGAAACAAGACATCAGACAACTTACTCCATGGCCCACATGACACTGCGGATGTGTTTAATGAGACTTTGTAATTTTGTATATAACAAAAATATATTAAATTTTTTTTTTATAGAAGAGGGGGCAAACGAGCATGCGGCTCACCTTACGTTAAGTGACTACCACCGCCCATGATCAACCGCAACATCAGGGGAATTGCAGGTGTGTTGCCGGCCTTTTAGAAAGGAGTAAGCTCTTTTCTTAAAGGTCCCAAGGTCGTATCGGTCCGGAAAAATCGCCGGTGGTAAACTATTCCACAGAGAGGTCGTACGCAGAAGAAAACTCCTTGTGAAACGTACAGTGGTGGACCCCCAAGCATCCAGATGGTCTCGACGGTAGTGCGTTCACGAAATCTATCATTACTTGTGTCCTCACTGCCATCATGGCCGTACTTGTCATGAGGATTTTGTTTTTGTATGAATTTTACACGCCTAGATTCTACCTAGTCAAATATTATCACACCCATGAAAAAATTGGGTGGTGGATGGGATTCTTATGATTCTCACAGTAAATGGTAAGAGGAGTTTAAAGCTAATAATTGTTTTAGCTATAACAAAATCTACTTACTCTGCCAAATCTAACAAACTACATATATAACATAAATAAGTTTGTTAGATTTTGCAGCATATTTTGTCTATTTTTTTTTAAGGATAGGGGTGATAATATTATCCAAACAAATTGCTTGAAATTAATTTTTAAATATCATTTACATTAATACCTTTGTCACTGGTCCTTTAGACTGCATATGAGTGTGGGCAAATTTAAAACAAGCGAGAGTTGCATCTTCAATCATTTTGTGAAATTTATCATTCTTAGCAACAAAGTCTGTTTCACAGTTAAGCTCTACCAGGGCTCCATGGTTTTTATCAAATTTAACAGCAACAAGGCCCTGGAGGGCAGTGCGTCCAGCTAACTTTGTCGCTTTAGCCCAACCCATTGCTTGAGCTTGTTCATTTAACCATGCTTCAGCCTAAAACAAAAAATATATTTAAAGATAGTTAAAGATTACATAATTTATTATTATTTGATAAATACTATTGAGAGGATAGAAATAATAGGGAAAATGTTGATTAAACAAAAAAATAATTATTAGAGTAAAAATGTGCACTACTCTATATTGTTTCGAGGGTGTCTTCAGAGGCGACAGAAGAAATTTAAAATAGAAGTTGGCAGCAGCATCTTCCTGATAACAACTCAAAATAATAGAAAACTACGATTGCCAAGCGTGACAAATAAGGAATAATCTCCCCTATGAGGCAATCTACGGGAGAAGTCTTTGTTCAGCAGTGGAGTTTTATAGGATGAAATAGAAGGATGGGATTAACTCATAAAATAGTATTTTTTAAGTATGCCTCTCTTAAGTACACCTCGTTTTGAGCATCATACTTGGTATTTGTATATGCTTACAGTCCATTTGACGGTATGGCTGTGGCACGCAGACACCAATGCCTATTATAAATTGAGAATACTATATAATATAAATACATTGTCACCCTGAAAGGATTAAGATGGAATGCCTCATTAAAGGATGGATACTCTACAATCAGCATACAAAACACAGCAATATTATTGCTGCTCATTTACAATGGTATTCCTTGAGATCAGGGTTCTTCCCTGTTTAGCCCACCCATTTCTACTTAACCATCCCTTTCAGCAGTCAGATACATAAGACTTGTAAACAAGATTTTTACACTTAAGAGAAATAGTATAGTACAGCAGAAATAGAGATCTACCACCTAATAAAAAGTTGAAAAATTGATTTATAATAATAATGTCCTACAGTATCAACAGAGACTGGCCATCTGCGCAGGATAGTTACGGTTCACGTGTGTGCACATCGAATTTTGAGACAATGAGTTATTGGAGATCAATAGTTGCGCTAACGAATACCAGACCAAACAGGCAATCAGTAGTCTTTTCAGATGTAATCAGTGTGGAAATAATAATAAATTTATACAACATATATCTTTTAACCTCTTTTTAATCTTCGGTATTTACTTCAATTAGATCTGGCTCTGCTCTGGAGCTCTCTTTTAAGTCCATGTAAAAGGTATAATGTATGTGTAAGATATAAGGTATGTGGTGGAATGATACTAATAAATTTGAGATCTTTTTTCTTCTCTTTTGTTATTGCTCTTCAATCAGGATACAGAGTTTCTAGAACATATTCAGCTGGAGATTGAAGACTTGTCCATTGAAGGCGTTGTCATCATTGTTTGAGTACAAAAATTTATAGAATAGGGTCTCATATAGTACATCAACCATTGAATTTTCAGCCATTCAATTTTACTACCAACCGTAGCAGTTTTCCTGTTGATTAGGGTTGCTAGGTCTTAAAACCGAAAAGCCATTTTTATACGTGGTAGAGCCATGCTGCAGTTATATTAGTAGTATTGTTGTGGAATGAATGGGTCGGCTCAATCGGAGAAGGACCACTTTTTCACAGAACACCAGCATAGTAGTAGCTTAATACTGCTGTGTTTCGTATGGTGAGTATAGAGAACCGGAGACCTTTTTTACTGGAAACGAGGCAATCAATCTTAGCCCTCACAGGTGACAACGCATCTGCATTTTGATTCTTAATCAAGGATAGATATAGATGTCTATGGGCCACAGCAACCACTTACCATCAGGTGTGTTGTGTGCTCGTTTGTCACCCTATCCTATAAGAAAAAAGCTGGATAGACCAGAAAAATTAGCCGGACATTTTAGTAAAAAGGCCGGTAAGAAAAAAGCTGGATAGACCAGAAAAGTTAGCCGGACATTTTAGTAAAAAGGCCGGTAAGAAAAAAGCTGGATAAACCAGAAAAGTTAGCCGGACATTTTAGTAAAAAGGCCGGTAAGAAAAAAGCTGGATAGACCAGAAAAATTAGCCGGACATTTTAGTAAAAAGGCCGGTAAGAAAAAAGCTGGATAGACCAGAAAAGTTAGCCGGACATTTTAGTAAAAAGGCCGGACGCCCTTAATTTTTAGTAAAACGACAATTAAAAAAAAGTAAAACTGCTTTCATCAATCATTTACCATAAAATCTTTTTAAATTCTAATGAAGTAACAACAATTGAATCACTCTACTTTATTATTAATCGTTCAATATTCATTACAATATTAACCCTTAAATGCATGATTATTTGTTTTGAACTAAAAAAATAGTATATGATAGGAAATTAGTCACAGGTTACGTAAAAAATAATTAAAAAAAATACGTGTGGCACTCGGTGACTGCCGCGGTAAAGCTATTGCATAGCATTTTTTATCAACTTATGCAATTATAATTATTTATTTATTTTATTTATGCAGTTAAGTCTTTGATATTAAATCAAGTTACACTTTTTGAGCGTGGTGACCGATAAGTAAACAATTTTTTTTCTCTTATTGAATAAATGACAAGTTAATATTGTTTAAAATATTTTTAATATCTTACAATAGATGTAGGTTATTCAGGAATTTTTATCATTGAGTTAGCAGCTAATGTACACGCACACAAACACCGTGCCGAAGTCTGCCGAACTAAAACGACGTTAGACGATGCACGGCTTTCAACGCCACACCTCCGTGCCCGTCGGAGTGGGGAGCGTGAGGTTTTTTTTCGTTACGGAATTTCTGGATTCGGTCCACGCGCTCCCGCGGCCCGCGATAGAAGCTATGCAATAGCTTAAAAAATCCAGCCAATAATATAGAATATTTATTTTGAAAAAATACTATGTAGACTTTTGGCAACAATATGCGTTTATTGATAAAATTACTGTAGACGTAAGCAAATAGTCATATTATAATTTTATTAATTAGTATAGGAATTTCCTTATTATTTATGAATGAAATACAGCAAAGCAATTGCGATTTTTGTTATGACATAAAGCAACCTTGCATTTGACGCACTCAGTCCGTGAAAATCCTTTACAACCTGGAAGTTTGCATCTATTTTTAGCGCTGCACCTTTTTTCATCATGGCCTATACCATCAGTCCGGATATCTTTTGGCGGGACAGGTTTAGCGGGACCTCGGTGTTTTTAGCTTCGATCTCCCTTTCTACATTATTGCTTGAGGGTTTTCTTCTTTTATTTGTATCGTACTTTTTATAGGAGCATAAAGTCTCTGCAAGTTCAGATCTGTAATCTCCTAAGGTAAGATTTGGGTATTTTTTCTTATGTAGTATCCAACAATTGATCACTGCCATATTGACCATGTGATAAAATAATCTAATATACCACTTGCGACTTTTTATTCTGATTTTATACCTACCCAAAAAGCTATCCATGAGGTCAATTCCTCCCATGTGGATGTTATAATCTTTGACTATTTTTGGACAAGCTATGGAAATTTGTTTCTTTTGTTTCTTGTCGTATCTATTCACAGTTTCGGCTGGTTCGGAGCCTACATAAGTTGACGCTAATGTGACAACCTTATTATCTTTCCAGCATGTTACCGAGATATCAAGGCCTTCGTAATCAGCTACTTGTTCCTCATACTATAGAATCTTTGATAAAATCTTTTACACCTGGCAATTTGCAATTCTTTCCGAGGCGGTTACGTTGAATAGTACCCAATGCATATATTCCTTGAGTCCATAGGTAATACAGTAAAGGAACGGATGTATAGAAATTGTCGAAATATAGGATATGGTTCATTTTTCGTGGAATTGAACGGCACAATCTAATCACTGTATTACCGACTACGCTAATATCAGGTTCATCAGATAAGTTGTCAACATTTTGTTTACCAGAATATATTTCAAAACTATAAGCATATCCAGAGAGTGAACACAAAACAAACAACTTAAAACCCCATTTATGGGGTTTGTTGGGTAAATATTGCTTCATAAAATGAGCTACCTTAGTCGAACACATTTGCTCATCTAGAGAGAGCCTTTGGTCAAATGGTGCCACACTCACGAACAATTTGTTCAAGTGTACTACAACAGGTCTTATTTTATGAAGACGATCATGGTTTGGGTGTCCAATAGGTTTGTGCTGTGCATTATCATTGAAATGTATTACTGATCTTATTTTCTCAAATCTATTTACCGTCATGGTCTGTCGTATATGATCGAAGCCATATTTACCCCAGTAGGATCTAACATTTGGGTAATGGTACACGGACATAAATATGATGATACCTAGAAATTGACGGATTTCAGTAGCAGTTACAGGACAGTTGGATACATTTTTTTGCGTGATGTATAAATTTGTTTGTTCCACAATAACAGTGAGTATATCCTCATTCTTAAATTCGGAGAAAAATCAATGGTGTTTCAAGCGCGGCTAGTGGAGGGGAAAGGTCGGTATTTCCTGTGAAACATATACGTTCTTCACTGTATTGCAAATTACGATTTTTTCATATAAGTTCTCTACTTTGTTGCCTCCACACTGCAACACCAAGAAGGCTTGAATGTGGTCGACAATTCGAAGGTCCTGGAGCTGGACTATTGAAGTGATCCAACCATCCTTCTTCCATGTTCGAAGGTGGATTTTCATTGTATTCTTCATCGTCATCATTATTGTCCTATAATTCGCTTATTAGATCTTGCAGGTCCGGGTGATAATCAATTTCGTTCATATCCCATATCCTCTTCGTCTTCAGTCCTATATATATCCTGTCGTCTCCATTTTCTATTCGTGCAAGTGAATCCTCAATATCGTCATCTTTTAGCCGTCTAGACATCCTATAAAGCAAAGCAAACTATGTTAAAAGACCCAGACACCAAAAACACTCGCTTATAATTATTTATGAAACAAATGCATAATGTAGACATTTGGCAACATACAGTAATTTCCAAAAATCTGTCTTGTATCTAATATAACTTTCAAATACAACATCAAACATTGATAGCTTACCTGATAACACATTAGAAGTAATTTTTTTAGAATAAGAAGAATCACTTTCTTAGTAGGAACTCTACAGTAGAAACTATGTCTTCTAGTAACACACTGAACTTCATCACCCACCACATTCAAATGTCAAAAAACGAGTAAATTACCCGCCAAATGTAATGTCAACTTTTTTCTTCATTGATTTATTGTCTATGGTTATTTACGAGCGTTCGGAAACACAGGGACTCGAGGTTTTTGAATAAAATAATGTGAAAATAAATGTAGACAATTGGCAACAATATGTATTTAAGGGTTAATTTAAATAATTGCAATAGTATGTATGTATGTGTAAGTACATGAAAAATGTAAAGAAATTGTCAAATTTAAAAAGCCTAACAAAAGCCGGACAGGCAGGATGCCATCTAATTTGGCCAGACACACAACTAAAAAGCCTGACTGTGTCCAGCTGTATCCAGACACCTGTCACTGCTACTGTTGATGGTATTTTATTCTAGTTTTTTAGTAGAGTAAAAGGTTAAAGCATTTTTATCAATATATTTCAACATGGTTCTTTCATGTCTATTACAATTAACAATAACATTTAGCTTTTGTAGACCAAACAGTTCTCAGAATTTATTCTAAAGTAGCTGTGCTCAGCATGTTTTTGTTGCCTCTTCTTTATCGTGAATCAGAAACCTTTGTTTAAACAATGTGAAACCAGAGTTTTATCACTGTAATATATAAAATAGTGTTATAACCCATAGAAGACAACGAGCTAACAAACCAACAACAAATATCAATTTTCATCTAATAGATTGTACAACCCTTTTCATAGTAAAATGTTTCTTTCAAAAATTGGCCCGTTAAGTTTCTTACTGGCTCTCTCAGGACAGAGATATTTTCTGCACCAGTGGTAAAAGTAAAAGATAACTTTCAATCAGTGAATTGTTTTATTTGCGTTCACCATTTTCAATAAATAACATTTATTACCATATACATGAACAAAAATTTATATTTGTGGATAATATGACATCACTAAATAATAAATTTTGAGTTTAACTTTGGCACCAAATTAAACATAAATGATAACTTTTAACCTGTAAGTAGTAGTTAGTTACATGGTAAGGGCATTCTACAGTAGTATTCTTAATTGAACATTAATAATTCTCAAAACTATGGACCACATAAGTGGGTGCTGTGGGCCCGTTTTGAGAATTATTTAGTCTTTCTTTACTGTTTCCTCTTTTTAATATATTGAAAATTATACATATAAAACTAAATTAGAGGTATCCAAAATCTTGAAATTTAGATCATTTTTATGCACTTAATTTTTAGGCACATGCAGATTTTACATTTATAAAAAATCATTGACTAGTTATCACCAAAAAATTATACCCAAAAATTATAACAGCAAATATGCACTCCCATTAAATATAGTTGCGATCAAATTCAGTTCAACCTTTACCGGAAACAATGTAATTGTTAATTGTAATTTAGAGCTGATTTACCACATACTTAATGCTTGACTGCCTTATTGATCTGACGATCATAAATGCAATTGATGATAATGAGGTACAGGGTATGGATTTGTAATTGGGTTTTTTGGTCAAGAATTTTTTTGTGGCAGCCCGGAGTTGGGAATTTGGTGGTGTTTCACCCCTGAGCCTCAGAAAACATGTAAAGCCGTGGGTTCTGATTTCTTCCAGTTGTGTCGGATTGTCATCCCATCAGACTATGAGAGTCAAGGAACACCTGGAGAGTGCACCTATTCTTGCTTAAATACCCTGGTATATACACTCAGCTCCTATAATCCTGTCCTGCAGATACCTAGGCTCTGTTGAGACTGGATGCTATAACTTATTACATTATTATGATTAAAATAATGTTACTTCCTGTTAATATCTGTATGCTATAGAAATTATCTTTCAGCATATTTTCCAGATTTACAACCAAAATAATATAAAATTGTAAAACTGTTTACAGTAAATACCTTATCAGTATCATTGTTATGCATTTCTAGAGCTTTTTTGCAGTTGGCAATAGTGTAACCTGTTTTCTTTCGCAATTTAGCAAGGAGTGATGACTCAGCAGCTCGACACACTGGCCCCGTATGGAGACTCCTCACCAACTGGAATATCATCTGAAATTATTTTTTATTTATGGAATATAACAAAGAATACCTAAAGTGTACAATAAGTTAATATGTTAACATTTCATGAAACACACAAAAAACACTCAAGTTATTTTATTTCACTCAAAAGTTAGAGCACTTAATACTTGTTTAATAACTATGTTTATATATTTTTAGACACTGAACAATAATTAGAATTGCTGAACATAAAAATAATTCTATATTCTATGATGTCATCATGATCTAATGAATCTTGACAAGGTCAATCCCACCCTGTTTGCCCAATGGTTTATTCAGCAACTAATTTTTATTGATGTATTCAAGCAGAAGCTAACTAACCATAACAGTTACCTTAGAATAAGATTTAATTTTTTGCTTCATTAGTAATTTTTACAACCTAAAATGAAGTTTTAGTTGTTAAAATATTATCTTCTTATAAGATATAAAAAAGTAAATAAATTTCTAGTTCAATTTATAAAGTAGTAAATTCTTTTTGGTTCATAAATTGTTTTAGATCGTTTTAGATGTATTACGTATTGGTTGCTAACGAAATCAACATTAATATGTTGTCATAGTAAAGTTATAATGATAGATCAATACGTTTCTATACTTGCTTAGATTAGAGTCAAAATTATTTTATTTTAATATTTGTAATTCTAAGTTATCTCTTGTACGTTAAAAGAAGTGTGTATATATAAGTTATTTGAGAACTACACCGTATAGGATAAAATAGGTACTATATTTTACCTTTAGTGGATGATTACAGGTAAGCCTGGAGGTTTATCAATTATAGGTCTTATCTAGCTTCTGCGATTTAATAGGCTTTAGAATAATTTAAATCTTGACTTTGGACAATTTTTTTCGAAATGAAGACAAATCCAGGTTATGTTATGAACTCATGCAGTGTTGCCGTTTTGTAAATGAAAAAAAATGCTAGACTTTGGCGGTGATAATGCTAAAAAAGTGCTAAATCACACTTGAATATGCTAAGAAAATGCCAGCTGCTAAGTCTTGTTTAAATAAATAAGAAATGAAAATAAATTGCAAGTAGGTAGTGTAACTAAAAACGCAGTGCTATTTTAAAGTAAATTTAATGATCAAGATAAATCAAATAATATTTGTAGATCATCAATATTAGCTTCGTCGTGTACTTGTGCTTGTTGTTGAAGGGCCATCTTCAAAAGCAATAGTCATTGGCATCACAAGCGACTCTTTAATCCCTCTAATCTGTTTTAAAGCATGTTCGGGAACGTTATAGGAATGACAACATTTTCCTGATCTTTTAAGGCCATATCTGATGTGTAGGATCGAGTTTAAAGTATGTAGTGACATACGATTTCTTAATTTTGTTTTTACAATATTCATTTGGCTGAATACTCGTTCTATCTCAGCATTCGAGTGTGGCAAAGAAAGAATAGATATGGTCAAAGAAGCTAACTCTGAAAATGGATTATTATCCGCCGAGTCTTTGTATTCATGAACCTCCGACCAAAATTCGACAGTTGAACATTTATTTTCCCAGTCGGTATGTTGAATATTTCTCCACTGTATAACTATACGTTCAATTTCATTGGCCTGGCAGCCGAATTCTTGTGCGAGTTCTATTATTGGTGGTTTTGTAGCTTTTACAGTTTCTCGTACAGAAATCATATTCATTGTTCGTAATATCTTTACATTTGTTGGCAATCTTGATCGCAATTCTTGTACAAGTTTAAGTGTAAACTGCTTACAGCGGTGCCGCAGATTATGTTCGGCTTCAGGTAAAAGTTCATATTCAGTTATCTTCAGTTCAAAACCATAGCCCTCATGTATGGAGATGGGTCTAGATAGCTTTCAAGATTTGTAGCCGTAAACACATCAATTCGCGCTGTTGGCAATATGATTCTTCTGGCGACTGATTCAGCCAGTTCAACCAAATCATTCAGCAGTTTAGTCGGGTCTCGGTCGTTGCTTTCAAAATTTTTACTTCACTTTGCACTTCATCTAACATAGGCAATAAATATAGCAGATACAGATGATTCACAGGATCGTTATACATAGAATAAAGCATTTCAGCCATATAGCAATTTTCTTTTTGTTTGACGATTTCGAAATGCGTTTTTAATTCCAGCCATTGATCTATAACCCGGCGGACAGCAGGCTCTATAGACAACCATCGCGTACTGCATACCTGAGTTATTTTCAAAGGTTCTTTTCCACAGTTAATGGTCTTGTATAGCTCCTTGTAAAACAACTGTCGGTTTGAGGAATGGCTAAACCAATTGTTTCTCGGATTAAAAACTCAATATTTCTCGGAAGTGACTCCTCAGACGCATGTGTGATAGCTAATTGCAGGGAATGGCAAAGGCACCGCACCGAAAACCAGATTTTCATTGCCAGTTTCAGTTTTTAATAAGCTGTGAACACCGTTGTTGACACCAGTCATAGAACTGGCATTATCAGTTCCTATACCTATTAAGTTTTTCATATTTAGTTAAAGCTCTGCAAAAAAGAGTCTTGAGGCCGTTTACTATAGCATCAGCTGTCCCGTTTTCTATGTCAACCAATCCTAAAAATGTCGTGATAATATTTTTATGTGAACTGTCATAATATCGGATTGATATGCAGAGAATTTTTGTGACTAAGATGTCTGTGGATTCGTCAACCAGTATACCAAACTTATTATGGCCTATGTCTGCAACCAGTTCTGAAATACAGTGTGATACCAATGCATATTTAATGATGTTGGTACATTTCGTTCGGTGTAATTTAATATCGGCACTTCGACTATCAGAAAATGTTTTTTACACATTTCGGACAAGTGGTCCACTGTTAAAGTAGATGCATGTTCACTTATAAATAACGCTAGTGAACACTCTGCTCTTTGGGTATCTAGTTGAATATGCACCGTAGGAAAATCAATTTTTTTTTGACTTTTTTTCGGCACAACATGTTTCGCATGTTTTGATGTACCAATGTGTTGTTTTAAACAGCATACTTTGGCTGTAATGTTGCACTTACAGTATTTGCAGTAAGCTTTGGTCGAATTTTCTTTAGCTCTTGTAAGCCATTGTTTAAACTCACTCATCTTCTCCCATTTTTCTCGATAATGTTGTTCATATTTTGGAGGTATATTATCCCTCCAAAGTCAATTGTAAACTACTTTTAAAGCACACACACAAAACAAAAGCACAAACGTTTATTTTAAAGCTATTACAAGTATCGGTACTTGCACTTGTTGAGTAATGGTCCGAATACGAATGAATCAAAACATTACACATTGCTTACTCGGAAAATAAACAAAATCTTTCACTATTCGGGAAAGTCCTCAAATCATAATAGAGTTGCCATAATAATCAATGACAGTAACAATTTTAAATTTTTTGTCTATGGGTTTAGTTCAATCCGTAGACAGAGAAACCTATAGACAAATTGACGCCTTCTTTCGCATTCGCACACGAAAAAGATAGATTTATGCATACGTCTTGCATAGAAATGAGATAGAGCAGTGTGATTGTTTGTCCCTTTCTCCGTGCCGGTTGTTTTGTTTAGCAAACTCTACAGTTTGCTAAACAACTTTAACAGCGTAGCGATTTAAGGAGTTTACAAGTTGGTTTAAGTGAGAAAAAAGTGTTTTGTGAGCTTAAGATTGGTGAATCTTGGTCAGTTCAGTTCTTAGAACAGTTAAAATTTTTATCTAAATGTGTTTAAAATTCATGAAGATTATTGTATAACCTAAAAATTCGTTATCGTCCTTTTTCACTCGAGGCCACGCCGATCATTAGTCTATAGGTTTCTCTGTCTACGGTTCAATCTTTTGCATAGAGTAAATATTGAGTGAACAGTGAGATATGGCAGTGAGTGTAAACAATTTGTCTATCCCATAAAAAGAATTGAAATCACTAGTACGTAAAATTCGAAAAATGCTAAAATATGCAATATGCTAAAGCCAATTGTTTCATGCCAACAGGTTTAAAAATATGCCAAATTTAGCATTAAAAATGCCACATCGGCAACACTGAACTCATGTATGTATACATGTATGTTCGGGTTTGGGGTACAGTTCCATAATAAATTATATGCATTGGCCGTAGTAAGTAAAAATCGAAGAACTTTCCGAAAAGAAGTTTTATTCAATATCCGAGAACCAAAACATTATAGTAGGTGTAGGTACACACATCAGGCAAATAATGAAGAATAGTATTTTATGTCTTAGACATTTCCTTGAAAAATTAATGCGAAAACTGAAAATAATTTCAGAATACTACAATGCATGGAAGAAATACAAAAAGAACAAAAGAGCTACCAAAGGCTTCTTCTTCGGATGTGAAACTACCTAAAATACCTAAACTAACAATGCCTGAAGATTTTAATATAAGAACACGTCCTTTATTTTCGCTCCCAGAAGAAATTCTCAAATTGCCTCCACCGACTACTAAGACTTCTAAACATCGGTCAACTAAAGCACCACCTAGAAAAAGATCCAGTGGTAATTATCATAATCATCATGATATATGATATCTATCATATATTATAATTAAGGTATTATAATCTTAATATATATATATATATACACACAACATGTAACAAAAACCCTGTGGTTCCCGTTAAGTGTGCTATCAGAATCAGTATCCAAGCTTATAGAAATAATTTTTTTTTCGAAAAAACGCATTTAAAAAAAATAATTTTACTGAAAAACAAATTAGTTTGCAAATTGTAGGTGGTTATATTTCCTCTCACACGAGTATCGGTAATGCGGGGTCTTTGACAATCCTCTTACTCCTCGGCCAATGCAGATATAATAAAACCACATACGATTTGCAAATTATTTTTTTTTCATTAAAATAATTTTTTAAATATGTTTTTTTTGAAAAAAAAATATATTTCTATATGCTAGGATACTGATTCTGATAACGCAGTTAACGGGAAACACAGGGTTTTTGTTACATGTTGTATACATATATATATATATATATATATATAAATTACGTCTCACGTTGTTTGTCCGCAATGGACTCCTAAACTACTTA